TTTTTTTGTGTTGCATATCTTGTCACTCTATGTTGCTGACCCCAAAGCGTGCTTTCAGAGCCTGGATACAGTGGGAACGGCCAAAGTTCACAATAAATCTACAAACAAAAAAAAAAAAGGTGAAAATGCAGTTAAACAGAGTTTTGTGTCCAGCAATTTCACTCCAACATTAGCCAGAGGAGACTGTGCAGCAGCATGGCCCTCATCCCTAGGATGGGTCCAGGAGGACAGCTGGATTAGAGTACCAGGGCACCAGTTTAGAATTATTAATTATAATTAGTCAACAAATGACTTTCTCAACTTTAGGATAGTAAAGGTCTTTAATTTTTCACGCATGGAAAAGACTTAATACCAGAGTACCAGCAGGTTATACCTCAAGTTACCAGCTTGTGAAAAACTTGGAAAATGATGATTTTGCTCCTTTGATCAACCCTAGAGAGATCATTTGTTCAGTCGGTTCACTAACCAGCATTGGACCTTGAGATTTGCCAAGGGCCAAAACGGTTTCACGACCTCATAACTATGGAACTGGACATAAACACCACCTCCAGTCAGAAGGAAGCGGTTTAATGCTTTTAAGAAACGTGATTTAAGGACAGACCTACAATAACTTGCTGGACTGTGGGAGCTCTCCAGTACCACAGCTCAAACCCCTTTCAATCTCTGCTGCTGATTACAGAAGGATATTTTGGTGGTCAGTGAAATATATGAAGCGCACCTCATGGCCAATTCAGGATAACTTTCACAACCTTTGTTTGCGAGATTGTAAGTGCATCCAAACTTTTAACATTAAAAAATCCGTATGAAATCTGTTAACATTTAAAAGTGACAGGCGTTAGTCATTTTTAAAAAGTCTGGGCAGTACAAGTACAAAATGCTGACAGACTCAGACTCACTGTTTAAAAAGGACAGCAGGAGAGAGAATATCCTGCTGAGTACTGAAAGAAAAACAGATGCTTTGACTTGTCCATACCAGTCTCCACAACCATCTAATCATAATAAAAGAGTAAGTATGTGTTTTAAATTTCAAAGGGACCATGCAATCCTAGATTTTAAACCCTAGCCTGCTGCAGCAGGACAGTAAACTCCATGTGTTTTCTGAAATTTCTAGGCTAGAAGATACAGCCCATTTACCATACCGCACTCCTGATCTCCCGTCGTCAACCTGACAGCACAGCATAGTTTCACAAGATCAAAACCCTTTCTTAGGCTGTCCAAAAAGAAATGAAGACCAAAAAAATAGTCCTTTTCCTGTAAAACATTAGTAAACATAACGTATCGAATTGTGTCCAGTTCGTAGTCGAGACTGACTCCTGTTTTGCGGTCTCGTGTATCCCTACAGTACTGGTAATGACTGACAATGACTAAAAAATAAAATCACCTCGTTTCATGCCATGCCTTGAAAGAGGACCTCTGTGAGTGGATATACGTGTATACAACTCGGTACCATGTAACCCACAGTCTCAGGTAAAACAAAGAAAAATGCTACCTTTAAATGCATTTGAAATGTGAGTTCAGCACACATCACCATGCGTCATGCTAGCTCTGCAAACTGGAGGAGGAATAACTAATTTAGTTGATCACAAAGTTCATCGCGCCGTACAGGCAATTAACCCGGCTCACAACTTAGTCCTACCGTCTGAAATGAGACAGCTACGCCACACACAGTCTTTTAGTCTTTGGTTGTGAAAACTTGAACTTTAGAATACAGGGGGTTTTGAAGGAGC